AGCTTTATTCTGTAATTTACGTGGTTGTTACAAAAAACATATTTGCTTTTCTGGTCTGCATAAAATGTTTGGACCCTCTGCAGCCATTGCCTGCTCCTCAATGTTGAATGTCAGACTGATGCTGTTGTTTTCAGTATGCATCCTCCCAAGCTGGAGGATTCCAGGGAATGAACACAGAATGAGGGTTGCCCTGGTGCACAGTGCTTTTTTTCATTAACTCTTAACTGGCTTTGGGTTTCTTCCAACACTGTTCTGTTTGTGCTGTGTAAGAGCACAGGGGTGCCCATCATTCTGCTCTCACGTGGCTGCCAGCCTTTCTGGAAGGAGGGATGCCAGAGGCTGACATGGCAGAGATAAGGCAAAGAGAAAGAAGCAGACAGATGCCAGTGGGGGAGGGTGAGCAAGACCAACTAAGGAAGGGTTAGGAGAAATTGCACTCAAGGGTGTGGCAGAAACATCAGGACAAATCACACTTCTACTGTTAACCAAGGCACTTTTGAACAAGCTACTATTCCAGCATTTGGGCTGTTTGAGCTTGCCATTCTAGATTGGCTGTTGGTTGTGTATCCCCTATGGTTTTAATACAGTGTGCACTTTTGACTCTGACCTTAATTTGCCCCCAAAATATGTGTGTGTTTGTGTGTAATTTGTGCCCCAAATACCTACATATTTGTGTGTGTAATTTGTGCCCCAAATACCTATAGTGTGTGTGTGTGTGTGTGTGTGTGTGTGTGTGTGTGTGTGTGTGTGTGAGATTTGTGCCCAAAATACCTGTGTGTATGTAATTTTCCCCCCAAATACCTACCTGTTGCATGCATGTGCATATGTGTAATTTGCCCCAAATATCTATATGTGTGTATGCATGCACGAGAGAGGAAGAATCTCCATGTATCATATAACATTGCATTTCCTGGTTCCTTTATCTCTTTCCTTGAGGCCTTGTTTACAGACTGGGCCAGATTTGTCCATGAGCTTCCTTCTGCCTTATGACTGGTAGCACATACAGCACATTTATTTCCTTTTATCATTGTAAAAGAGTGATAGTACAGATCCAGCATTTATCTTTTTGTGCAGCCCTGACTTCTCCATTATATAAGAAACACTTCTAGTCCCAGGTCTTAAAACATATCTGCTTGACTTGAACACTCCTAATCATTCTAGTTAACCTCTGTCCTGGGCTGCAGAGCCTCGTAATATTTTTGTCACCAACTTCTGTCCCCCCAAGAATCTACTCTGATGATATACGAAAGACCTCCCTAGTTCAAATTCACTGGAGTTGTCTTACTGATCTCTAGACACTTCTACTGGAGACCTAAGGAACTGATGGACATTTTGCTGTATTCCAGTATCTAGTCAGCTGAAACTAATTTTTTTTTAAACTGAAAGATCCACCAGGTTTACTTTTGAAATGAGAAGCTTCACTGTCTGATGAGACATGGATGTAGAGGTGCCTGGACCTGGGTTATTTATGAAAGGGTTGTTGATATTTACAGATTCACAGAAGTTTAGGGCTGGAAGGGACCTCATGAGATCATCAGGTCCAGCTCCCTGCTCTGGGTAGGGAAAACTGGGGTCAAGTAACCCCAGTAAGGTGTGTGTCCAGTCTCCTTTGAGACAGGCAAGTTTGTAAACAATTTAGGTGAGAGCACGAAGTGCTGAAACTGCTAGAGAGAAAATAAAATGATTTGGCGGAAGTGATAAAAGCAAAAGAACTGACTTAACTAAAGGAATAAAGATCTTCCAAAGAGCAGAAACTAGCAGCAAGGGGTCATCTTCATATAGGGTATAGATATAAAAGACCCTTGATACATTACGTCAAGGCTGTCCCAACTTCTAAGTGGCTGGGGGGTTGCACATCTTGCCAGCTGAAGCCATGGGTGCCCTTGGATGCATGTGATGTGGGGCCCCCCCTTGCTGCCCTGAGCATATGGACACCTCAGCCTTACTCTCAGCTCCCCAGCCACAGGCTCCCCTTCTGCACAGCACCACAGAGGGGCACACAGAGTCTCAACCCAAACTGTGGGCTGTGCCATTTAGTGCTGCCCCCTGTCCTCCCCTCTTCCTATACCACTCCATCCTTACCCTCCCCCCACCATCTCCCTCTACTCTTCCCCCATGCAGGCAGGGGCAGATATCTGAATCTGGAGGAGGGAAGGGGTAGCCTGCAGTTCCTGGCTGCAGCTGCAACTGGAGCTAGGGGTTGAGTAGCACTTGGGTATGAGCCCAGGGTGGGAAGGGAGGCTTAACACCATGTGGGCTGCCAGCTGGACAGCTCTGGTGTAGGCTTTCAGGTTAGGCATCTACCTCTTCCCACTAGCCAGATTTATCCACACAGAATAAGTCTGGGTTTGGCTTCCAAACTGAGCCGGAATCATTCAAGTTACAAAGACTACATTCTACTACATCCTATTGTGTAATATTTAAGTTTTTATATAGACTTAGTTATTTGATACCTTCCAGAACTTTTATGCAGGCAAGGTTCTTTGGGTAGATGTGTTGTCTTTTATTAGACCAACTGAGTAGCTGGAAAAAAGTTAACTTTTTTTCAACTACTCAGTTGGTCTAGTAAAAGATATCACATCTGCTCAAAGAACCTTGCCTATCTATGTCCTTAGACCAACATGGCTACAACCAACAACTTAGCTTTTATGCATCACTCTTCATCCAGAGATCTTCAAGCACTTTATAAACAAGTATGAAACATCATTATCCTCATTTTCTAGATGGGGAAACTGAGACGTAAGTGAGTGCCCAGGCTCATCTGGGCGAGTTTGAAATAGATTCTGGGTCTCCTGATTTCCCATACGGTCTTCCCTTCATTACCACCCTTTCATTAAGCAACAGGATTAGCATCTGTTGCCTATTCTTCTTCTTTTTTTACTCCTATCTTCCTCTCTCAGCAAGTCACTGTATGAGGATTTCTTATTCTTATTTTATTTTTCCATGCAATCTCTGTGCAGTGTTCGTTAGCAGGGAAAGAGCCAAAGATACTCTCCTACTACTTCAAAAGGAAGGGAGTGTGGATCTTAGGCCTGGGTGAGGCTTTGTTGGCCAGTTTCTTCAGTTTGCATACAACCACTTACTCAAGACTCCCTAGGATTGCCACTTCCAACCAGAATTGCCTCTCCAAACCCTCACAACCAATTACAAGGCACAAAACTGGATGCTCAAAGACAGCCTTATAATATACCATAGAACAAATCAGGGGTGACCAGATCACTTCCAGTACTCTGCCACTGCAGTGAAAGGGAAATAGTTTTTAATAGTTTGGTCTCACAGGATTCCTGGAAGAGGGACATGCTTCATGTTAGTGAGGAAGGCATATGGCAGGAAGATGCCTCCTCCCTTTCTGGGAGGAATATTTGAGACTTTGCCTCCTCAAAAGTACCTTTCCCTTTGTGGTAGACAGTACCCCTGTGCCAGAGTAGCAGAGTAGGTCACTGGTGTCCTCATTCAGGACCTATGGGAATTCCTTTATGCTTTGGGGGCACCAGTCCTTGCAGGTTCAGCGAGCAGATAAAACAGACAAAGATAAGGCATCTCCATATGTCCTATTAGTTTACTGTGGTAATGTTAAATCTTGTCTTTAATTATTTGATGTACCATTTAAGTCCTTATAGTAAAAATAGTCACTTTTCAGTTCAGTTCTATTTTTCTATCTGAGCAGTTTTGTATTAGGTGCTGGTATGTAATTTAACACCAATCTGTCATTAAGTAGCATGATTAATAAGGTATAACTTGTTTTCTTCTCATTCCAAAGTAAGAAATCCTTAGAAGAAGCCACTAGAACTAAAAAAACCAAACAAACTAGCACATAGCCCTTTCCAAATTTTGGTTCACAAAGGTATACATTGAGAAATTTTGAGGGTTGATAATATTCCACTGGTTGAAAAATGTTGGGAACTGTTGGCCTATGGCTGTGGTGCTTGATCTCTGGCCTGTGAGGCCATGTTATCTGGCCCATGGGTCTTCCCACAGGTCCAGAAATTTGGCGGCAGGAAAGCAGTGGCAGCACTGATTGCTGCTCCTCTGTTGCCAAATGTCCTCCAGCCTATGGGGCTTTCCATGTGTCTGGACATGACCCTGCATACTAGATCATGCCAATGCTTGGCCAGGCCAGCACACCAGATTGCATCTGCATGCTGACCCCATGTTGGATAAGGCCTGCAGACTGATCCTGTATGTGGGATCTGACTCGTAAAGTAGTACTGCACCACTCATCCAACTCATGGGGCCAGAAAGTTGAGCACTGCTGTCCTAGGGTAAGCCCATGTAAAATGCAGTCTTATGAGGAAAAGACTGCCTTTCTAAGGTCCAGGTGATAATTTCTGCTACTGTAGTCCTTTGGGGTCCCATTCATGACTGGGCTCCTATGTGCTAAGTGCTGTAAAAAGCCTCAGGAAATAATACTTCATATTATACATTGTACTGTCTTTGAGGTAGTAGTTGTCTTCCTGTTGCCTATTTGTGCAGCACCTATTACTGTGGGACTATAGCCCATGACTAAGGCCTCCAAACATTGCTGCAGTACAAGTAATTATACTAACAAATAATAATACTAACATATGCCATGGGCAACTGGTGCCACCTTAGTCAGGGGGGGCACGTGCCCCCCCTGCAACCAGTCCTCCCAACTGGGGGTGGTCCCCGTGTGGCCAAGCTCACTGCCAGGGTGGGGGCACAGTCTCGCTGACATATACTAATATATTTGCTTGTCCAAAAGAGCCAGAGGGAAACTGGTGAAAAATGTCAGATTATTCCTGGTAACTTCATCTAAAATTTGCAGACCCTGAAAATGGTTGAGCAGGCTTAAAACATTCTTTTTTCCTAACTAGCTACTCCAGAAATACAAGCAGATTAGACACCTTAATTGATCTCAAGCATGCTATATTCGTTCTTTCCTTTTTAGAACCTGTATGGAGGTTGGATTAAGAAAGGAGTCATAGTGAAAAAATGTCTCTGTGTCTCACATTTTGCATTTGACTCCTCCTTTCTGACAGGTTTGCCCATTCTATAACAAAGGCGAAGGGAATTGTGCCCAGCAACATAATTGCACCAAACTTCACATTTGCCGGCACTTTCTCCAAGGACAGTGTAGGTTTCCCAACTGCAAGAGATCCCACAGCTTTCTGAATTCAAAAGCATTGATGTTGCTGACACCGGAAGGGGTGAATGATAATGCGGCTCAAAACATCCAACTGATCTGTGATCACAAGCATGCTACATTTATCCAGGAAATAAGCCAGGGGAAAAGTAAGTCATGGCCAGGAGGTGGGCTTAAAGAACAGCATGAGCGATCTATTTCCTCCATCCAGACAAGATGGATGGAGGCTATTTTTTCCCTATGTGCTTACTGAAGCACCCCCTCCCCGTTCTTTTCTGCTTCTAGCTCTCAACAGTACTGAAGAAGCTAGAAATAAAAGGAAAGTACATACTGGCAATAAAGAAAAAAATGAGTCTGCAGAAACTTCCAGTACACCTACCTCTCCATCACGTGCATTTTCATCGGAGGCATCAACATCACAAGGTAAAGTGAGATGGGTGCCAGTTGAGCATGTCATCTGGCTGCTCTAAGTCTTTCTGCTCTTTTTTGTTCTTAAGGGTGGGCTTAGAATTTAAATTCACTGAGAGTGAATCCTCCTTTAACTTCAACATTTGCTCTATTCACAAAAACACAGCAAACAATGGCTCAGCCTGTCATAGTGTATTGGAGAGAGTGCTCTGTGCAATAAGTATCTGCTTCTCTTTTGGTATTTATAATATATTTCCTGCCAGTAACTACTGTATAGGAAGCTGCTGCTGAGCATTGGTAATAGAATTAGCATTTAATTAGTTGGAAGGAACATGCCAGTGAGTAGAAGGGTGCTAAACAGAAGTGTCCAGCATTGCACTGGCAGAGAAAGGTAGTTAGCTATATTAGAAGTCAGGTAGAAGGCAGGGTAGATGGATACGTTGTAGACTAACTGAATCAGAGATCTATAGCAGGGTTGATGGTTGTAGCTGTGTTGGTCTATGTACATAGGCAGGCGAGGTTCTTTGGGTAAATGTGATATCTGTTATTAGACCAACTGAGTAGTTGGAAAAAAATTCTTTTCAAGCGTTCGGGTACAAGCACCCTTCTTGAGGCTTAGGGAGTGTGACAAGGGCATGCTCCCAGGCCCGATCTCAATATCAGCCTGCCTCCTGTCTATGGGCAAACCACCCGCATCACTCTCCTGCCATGCCTTGTTGTAATTTAATTAGGATGTTAATTAGGTGCGAAGCTGCCCTTCGAGTGTCCAGCTGTAGTATGGGCAGTACCTACACGCTCCAAGCTCCCCTTACACACGTCCCATGCCTTGCACATGTCTCACTGTTTGTTAAATCTCTGGATCAAGGCTGGGCCAAACTGAGCACACAGTTGGGTCTCTCTCAGACTGCTCTTGCAGGTCACACACACACTGCCCCCTCTCACTGGGGCCTCTTGCTCTCTGCCCTCTCTCACAGGGCCTCTATCATTCTGTCCCCTCTGGGGCCACATTCATACCACCCTGCTCCTTTGAGCGACCCTGTAGGGCCATCAGGCTTTGCTTTCCATGCCTTGGCCAGTTCTGGCACAGCCTTTTGGGCCTCTCTCACGGCCCTCATCTGCACGGAACTGGGTGATTATTCAGCTCTGGGCCAACTCCTCCTCTAGCCCCACACTGGGCCACGATGCCCCTTCCTCAGGCCACCACTCTGCCCATACTCTGGGGCCCTGGATTGAACATCCCCCTCAGCCTCAGGTGCTTCCCTATAAGCATACCTGGCCCTAAGAACTCTGCCCTTTCACTAGGGCTCAGGGTCCTCCACCCCTGCAGGCTCAGGTGCTGCTTCCCAGCTTGCCTGGCCCACCTCACCAAGTTCTTCCACCCCTTTAGGACTCGGGAGCTTCTGCAAGCATACCTGGCCCCCCCTTGCTCACTCGCTATACCCACCTGAAGGTGGGGACTGGGGTTTACGTGCCCCTATCTGCCTTTCAGTGGGGAGGTTCATGGTCCCAGCATTTAAGCAACATTGCCCCACCACAGGCAGTCCCACCAGGCCTCCCTACCCCAGCAGAGTGCAGTTTTTGGTCATGCCCAGGACCAGGGGCCTCCTCCTTCCCCATAGCCCCAACCCTTACCTCTGAGATGTTCCTGGAGTGGTAGCGCAGCAGGATGATGTTCCTCCCATGCTGGCTGGCAGCAAACTGCTGCCCCAGCCTTGAGAGCTGGGCATTAAATTAGCCACCCTAATCATGTATCTGCCGGCTGCATGCTCCAGCCCTTAAAGTGTTGGAGCACTAAAGCTGCTCCATCACAGGAAGTCTCTGCTGTTCTGAGATCTCCAAGGAATGAAAGAAGCTAAAAGTATGATGGGGGGGGGGGGAAATCAGTGAAAGTGAGAAAGGAGAGGGGAAAAGAGGAGGAAATAGTGGGTGAAGGAATGCAAAAAGGTAAGCATGGGAGACTGCTGTAGTTTAGCAGAGTTCTTCAAGGTAGAAAAGAGGCAGTCCGAGAAGAAGTAAATAGGTCAGATGGATTGCAGATTGGCTGAGGGGTCGCACTCAGAGGGTGGTGGTGGATGGGTCATATTCGACCTGGGGGGAGGTGGGTAGCGGAGTCCCCCAGGGCTCGGTCCTGGGGCCTGCGCTGTTCAATTTCTTCATCAGCGATCTGGATGATGGGGTGGAAAGTAACC